TTGTAACTAAAACTGTGGTTGGGGGGGGGGGGGGGGGGGGGGGGGGGAGCTTAGAAAATGTTTAAATGTTTACCGACTGCGGAAAACCAAACAAACATAAGAATATTTACTCATAAATCCTAAACCAAAATGTTGTCATTATTCGTAGCTTAAATTGTTACAATTCAATTCTGAACCATTCATTTAAAAACAAATCCACTCTTCTCGTTTTACTCGGGACCAATACTTTGCGAGATTAATCAAATAGTCGAATGGCACTCTGCTTTTGCGACACTGCCCCTTCTACTTTTTGTGCAACTGCTTTATGTGGCACATGAGCACAACATCCAAACATCACGTCGCTGACACTGTCACACTTACACTTCAATACGAGGATTTTCTATTTTTCTTTCATGAACTAGAGATGGCTACTTACATTAAGGATAATGATTATATCGTGTACAAGTGTAAGGAGATGATGATGATGATAATAATAATAATAATAACAACAAAAAGACCGAGTACGTTAAATGTTATCGATAATATCTAATGAAAAGAGGAGAGTGCTACAGTTGAGCAGTAGCCTATCTATGCATGAGCTACCACTGGAATAGACAGACGGTCAGACGACGGACTGCAAAACAGATCACGAAAGGAGAAATGGTGCATGGATGGATAGTATAGACTGACTGAGAGAAAGAGTCAGTAGACAGACAAACGGAATGATAACAAACTGACAGACAGATAGATTAGACAGACAGACGGACAGACAGATTGATCGATGGATAGACAGATATACATATATGTACACATATATGATAAACAGGCAGATAAATAGATTAGACAGATATGCAGACAGACAGATGCACAAAAAGTGACAGACAGACATTAACAGACAGGTGGACAGATATATATATATATATATATATATATATATATATATATATATATATATATATATATATAGCAAGACAGAGAGATAGACATATGTAGAAAGAGACAGACCTATATAAAAATGATAGGCAATGAGATAGACGAATGGAATGACGGACGGACGGAATGACAGACAGGTATATGTAGATACACAGCAAGATGGACAGACTGAGAGGTACAAAGACAGTCAAGATTACTCACAGCTTCCAATGAAGAGTGGACAGATAGCTCTATCCATGGGGTAGCGTGACAACATCATGGGACAACGGGCGTTGACCGTCAGCCTGCAGCAAGAGGTACACACCCAGTTAGTTTCTGCATCCGTTTATTACATGGGCTTGTGTTTTACAATAAACAATTTAGGAACTGTTGTATCATGTCAGCAACCAGAAATCTTCTTCTGCTTCTCGGAAATCAGTGGCTCTAAATTATGGCCGAAAGCTGCAGTTGTTTACTTCTAGACTTTGGTCTTGCTCCAGAACTTGAGATTTGCGTGCATATCTGTTCTACAGATCTGGCTTATTTGTTTGCAGGCAGTTGGTTCCTCGCTGTTTACGCAATGCAGTCTGACTTCAATACACACACATACACATAAGAAAAAAATCACAGACCACTGATGAGTCAATGCCTACGACATGGCTTTATTTCTAGGGTGGCTGTGGGTTACTCCACCCTGCCAAATTCCAAAGGTAGCCCAGAACTCACCCAGGAAAGCAGCAGCAATAATAATAATAACTGACAAATAATAACAATAAAATACAGTAATAACGGCAACAATCAGCAACAACAAGAAATAAAACGGCAGCCAGCGATGTGGAATTATACTGCAGGAAACTAAATAACTTGACTATATCAAATGATATGCAGATCGAATGTTTGGAATCTGTATAGTTTTACAGTACGAAATTGTAAATAGTTATATAAACTTTTAAGTGGCTTAACTGTATCGGCTTGTAGATAGTTTATTGTTTGATACCATAAATAGTTTAATTATATCAGAATGGAGACACTCAATTGAACGGTTTCCTGATCTAATGTATCTAATCACAGTCAGTTTTGATGCATACAAGTGTAGGGAAGAAGAAGAAGAAAAAGAAGAAGAATAGGAAGAAGAAATAAGAGGAGGAGGAAGACGAGGAGAATGGAAGGAAAGAGAAAAAGCAGAACAAAAAGAAGCCAAAAAAAAAAAAAAAAGAAGAAGAAGAGGAGGAGAAGGAGAAGGATAGGGAGGAAAGTTGAAGAAGGAAAAGCAAGTAAATGTGAGTAAAAAAGCAATTTACTTTGTGAAGATGGAAAAGCACGTATGTCGAAAGAAAACAACCATATAAGTAGTGACGGAGTGGGAGGGACAGACGTCATGAGACAGGCACCACAGAAGCTGTTTGACAGCAACATAATGACTAGATACAGAGGGCTAGAAATCTAATGCCCACCTCCAGGGTGAAGATGACAGCTAATCTGAGCAGATGTAATGGAATAATTTAAACAGCGCACGCCTGGTAAATCGATAAATAGATCTTTTACAGGAACATCCCATCAAAGATAAATCAAGCTAATTATAGCTTGACATCGAACAGAAGGAGAATAC